TTGTGAATTCGTTTTGTTGCGTACCTACCGTTGCACCTGTCATCGTATGATCCACATATATTACCTTCAAAGTAAAAAGTCTCATACTTTTTTTTGCAAGTCATATATGGTGTAAAGCTATACCTAATTATTAGGAGTTTTAAGAAACTAAGGAATGGTCAAATGTTTTTATATATAAGAGTGTTTTATGCAGCTTATATTAATAATCTCTAGAATTTTCTCTAGCTTCCATTTAACTATCTTAATTACAATTATTATTTATTGACGGTCCTGCAGGACCACGGGGTCGAATCTCGCGTGGCACAAGTGTCCCCCACCTATATTCAAGAAACGCTTCGTTCTACGCTACGAACCTAGGATATGAATGATATGTAAAAACTAAAAATATAAATTAAATGCGTAATAACAAACCATTTGTCTAGAAAGTTACAACGGCCTGAAATATAGCTGCTGCATGTAACTGGGACAGATAAGTTTCGTTTTCAAAGTGAAAAATGTCTGGAAGTCGTTCTGAAAACAAAACAAAGATTTTTTTTAATAGGTGAGGGAGCAAACGACCTCATGCTAAGTGATCTCCGACGCACATGAACAACTCCAACACCAGCGGCATTGTGGGTGCGTAGCTAGCCTTTAAGAAAGGAATAGGCTTTTGTTTTGAAGGTTCCTAAGTCATATTGTCCCTAAAAATCTGCTAATGGTAGCGGAATCCAAAAAGAAGTCGTGAAGAAGTCGAAGTAAGAAAACTCCAAGTAAATCGCATAGTCGTGGACAGCCAAGGATCCAGGGGATATGGATGGTATCTTAAAATTTTGTCAAGATCTGCGATGGTGAAGTATCGTGGCTGGAATTACCCGAACAATTTCTCTGAGCATTAGTCATGGCAAATGTTATAGGAAATGCAAGGGGATAAAAAATGCCAGTAAATGGAGCTAATTTTTTTTATAGAATAAGTGACAAAAGAGAACACAGTGCACCACCTCATGGTAGGTGGATGCTGTGACCCATACATTTTCCTTTATCCTCGATAAAGGGTCAATATGCATAAGTTGTCATCCCTAAGGACTAAAATGGAATGCCTCGTAGTCGTATCCATTTAAAAGGGTCTCCGGTTCTCTATGCTCACCATACGAAACACAGCTTAGTGCTGCTATTTTACGTTGATATTTCTAGATAAAATATTATAAAAAATAAGATTAGAAAGATAAAAATAATAAAATAAAATTAGGGCATTCTTATATTATTTTTATCTCTCATATATTATTACATATATTTTTATATTATACCGATACATACTTACTGCTATTCATTTATATATACCTGTTATACTATTGTAGTACCTACTGAATATAAGGATACAGATAAAGAGGCACTAACTCATCCTAACTACCTATTATCCGATGTACTAATATATACGCGATAAGATCGCAGTCGGAGGTAGCCTTTGATCCAATGTAAGGACACGGTGGCCATTACACCTAAAAACAGATAGCTGTTATAACAAAAATATTTTTACTTTAAATAGTGAAATGATAGCTTTTAATATTAGAAATGCAAAACAAAGGAAAGAAGTCCAAACATTTTATGTAATTTCTTATTTTCTTAATATGTAATATACGTAATGATTTAACTCAAGCTCTACAAAAAATGTAGAGACGAATTTAAAATTTTATTAAATAAAAATTATATTTAAACGCTGTATTATCTACATACGCCGTAACGACACGGGAAATATCTAACCTCTGGAAGTGGAATACCTACGTTCGCAGTGGGAAGAGAGTGACCGGCAATGGGCTAACACAGGATATTCCCACCTACTTTTAAACGACTCGGATCTGCGAGACTGTACTTTGTACCGCAATGAACAACGGTCTTTACAGTGTACAGAGCTCGCTCCGTTTATTTAAAATGAAAAAGTCTGTGACGATAAAATATAAATGGTTGGTTCTAGTAAAATCGATATGCACTTTATGCAAATAATATTATGATATATGGCTTTAAAATAATAGATGTTTTTTTAAATGTTTTATTTACGTATTTTTTATAAACATCAATTACTACTCAGGTTACTCAATTATGTTCTGTGGCTACATTATTTATGTTAATCGAATGCAAAATAATTGCTACAGGTTACAGGTAATAAATTCATTCGAAATGTTATGTGAAAGTGATTAAAAATACGATTGTAAATATTGTCACTAAATGAATCTATAAAACTAAACTTCTGTATTAGATAGATATAAAATAATACAAATTGAATCTACATTATAGGTACATATACGCAGTATTCAGTGCCCATTTGTTTATGTCGTACATAATTTATTTGCTTTCTTACTAAACGCTTAGATCTTTTTACTCGCCGACAGATGGCGCAATAAGAATCTTAAAAACATTTTATTCCCAGCGTAAGCCGAATTCTAAAACCTTTCTGAAACTTTCTCCCGCGTCGTTTTTTAAGGGTTAATTAAATTACTTCGGATAATTCCAATACAAATTTGATTGTCATAGTACTTAATGTTTAAATAATTTGGGTGGGGCAGATGTTTTGCAGAACTGAAAATTTCTTTTCTTCTTTTTCTTCCTTTATTAAAAAAACTTTATATATTTTAATATACATAAATGTATTTTCATACCCAATATTTTATATCGCATTCTAGTGCAAGTGATTTAATATTATTAATATTGCAAGTATTAGATACTGCATAATTTGAAGTTTCATAAATCGGATATAATATTCACAAATACGAATTTGAAATTTTAATAAAATACAATGTATACATACATTGTAGGAAACTTATTACAGGAAGTAAATTTAATTCACTTAAATAAAACAAATTGAATAATTATAAAACATTTAGGTAATACTTTGGTGTTACAAATTTTCTATTTTCGAACTAGGTAAACTACGTTAAAATATTAGATACTTTTAAGAAAACTACTAACTACTTGGTAAGAAAAAATAATTGCTAATACTTTTTATGTCATTGACTAAATACCTATCTATACCTATAAAGTTAGCAACAGTTAAAAGTTGTTTAAGTAAAAGAACTTCGACAGCACTCATTGACTGAGCTGACCTTAATTAGAAATACTAGGTCATAGTCTTGAAATAATTGCCATCCGTTCCTAATTCGTCTGCAAATTTTAGATTAGTCAGACGTGCGGAATAGGCTGAAACCGGAATTAGAAAATTCCATTATATACAAACATAGTACGTACATACACACATAAATATATAGTATATATAATTTTACGTGATAGAGCCATACCTACGCCATACTCTCATAGAATACCAGCGTAAAATAACAGCTCGACGCTGCTATTTTATATGGTAAGTGCAGTGAAACCGAGGCTCTTATTACTGGAAAGGAAGCATTAGTGGTTTTTTTATTAGATTCTCGGGTATCATTAAGTATTTGGTGGACTGTGTGCTCGTTTGTCAACCTTTTCCTATAAAAAAACTATATTTATTATAAAAACACATTTAAACGGGTCAGGCTAATAATAAGAACGTGTTTTAAAAAAGAAAATTATAAAATAAATTGTTCCAATTTTGAAGTATTTAGCTTATGGAATGAATAAAGAGTGGATCTCATCGATATCTTTGTTCTGAATGTGACTGTTTGAAATTAGCGGTCTCGTGTTACTGAATAAGTTGGTTTTTAATTTAAAAATAAAAAGAAACTCGTTCATTAACGCGAACAGTAGGTATGCGAAGAGTTTTAAAATATCCACAAAAATTAAATCAACTCTAAGGATGTAAGTTATAAATCATAGGTATGACGTACATAAAAGTTGGAATAATTTATTGACCTTAACTTACGTATAATAAAAAAGACTAGAGGAATGCACAAAGCGCAACGGACAAGTAAGCTAAAGTGGCAACGCGCTGGCCATAAAGCTCTAAAACCGACAATCGGTGGGGAATAAAGGTTCTCGGGTGGCAGCCCCGTACCAGCGATTGAAGTTAAGGGCAGCCCCCCGCTAGATGGAGTGACGACCTGGTAAGAGATGCAGAAAGTCGATATATGCGAGTAGCTCAGGGCCGTGATTTGCAACATTTGGGTGAGGCCCATATTCTGCTGTGGACTTATGATGGGATGAGATGATGATGATGATGCTATATAACATATTAAATCTTATTATTTATTTCAGTTTAATTCACAGCACTTTGATATACTTACCTAAAACTTTGGCTAAATACAAAATGACTTTAAGGACTGTCACATGTTTTTATATTTTATTTCTATTCAAAAGAATTTAAAGAAATTTTATGTAGTATGTAGGTCTCTTGTTCTGCAAAAAGTATTGCCAAGGTAGGTTTACAATTTATTATATTTTTTTTATAGGATAGTATGACAAACGAGCACACAGTCCACGTGATAGTAAGTGGTTGCTGCGGCCTATAGACATCTACATCTAACAAAATACAGATGCGTTGTCAGACGTGAGGACTGAGATGGTATACTTCGTTTCCAGTAAAAAGGGTCTCCAGTTCTCTACACTCACCATACGAAACACAGCAGCATTAAGCAACTATTTCACGCTGGTATTCTGTGAGAGCGTGGTCCTTCCCCAGTCGAGCCGACCCATTCGTGCTACAACTATACTACCTACTAATATAACTGCAGCATGACTCTACCACGTACCTATAAATTTATTTTATTTATTATTAAATTTTACATGTAAGGTATCAATTTTTTTATTGTTAATTAACATTTTTTTAAAGTTTGCAGTTATTTTTGTAATTTGTCTAATCTGAGGGCGCTTTTATTCCATGGCATGTTAAAATACTATATTTTAATAAGCATTTCAGTAATACCAATGTAAAACGAATATACTATTTACTAATACGAATGATCTATAACATTAAATGTATTTGATATTACTGTAACATAATTTGGAACGATTTTTTAAATATCTGGATAAAATTATGTAGGTGTTATGCATATTGGTATAGAATCAGGCATCTATTTTAACATATTTTTGTCCATATTTTTAACATGAACTTAATACACAATCCTCTTAAGTAAGAGGGTAACGCTTTATGTACCTAGGTACATAAAACACCAGTACTTCGATCAATAGTAGATAAATATAGTTTAAAGAACCGTATAAAATTCCAAATTATTCCTTTCATACGAAAATTTTTCGAGTGATCTTGTACAAGAATCAAAACCGCGTGTCCGCGGAAATATTCGCAAAGAACTTTCGAAGTCAACGAGAAGAAACTTGTTAGCGTTCGCGAAAAGCACGGTGCATGAGAGACGAGAGCGGCGACGGCGGCCGCGTAGAGCGTAGACAACGGCGGAGGGCCAGGCCCGCCACAAAAGATATCGCGAGACCTAACGAGCTCAATTGATGAACGAACGGAAACGTGTCCAATTAGAAGGAGGCGGCGAGCGTCGCCCCCGCGCGCCGCGTTAACCAGATTAGCGGAGCGGAGAGCGAGGTGGGGCGCGGCGGACACCTCGGCGCGCGGGAAAAACAACGCGCGGCGCCGGCCCCGCCCCGCGGGGCGCTGCGGGGCGCCGCGCGCGCCATTGGCCGGGCGGGAGGGTGTCGCTGCCGGCGCCGCCGCCGCCGCCGCAGCCGCCGGCCAGTCGTTTGACGCCTGCCGCGCGAGCGGCCGCACCGACCGTCGCGAGTGTCGCTGTCGTAGTGCGCGATCGAGCCGCCGCGAGCCGCCGGCCGGCGCGGCATGGACCTTGCATGAGCGGCCGCCCGCGCGACCGCTGGAGCCGACGGGCACGCCGGCCGTGGAGCGCGCGCCGTGGGTCCCGGGCGGCGCGGGCATGCGCTTCGAGGGCGCCGAGCGGCGCGACGCCGTGGCCTTCCACCCGCTGCTGGCGCCGCGCCCCAGCGACTTCTCGGTGTCGGCGCTGCTGACGGCGGGCGCGCTGCCGCCGCCGCCCTACCTGCCAGCGGCACTGGCGGCCGCCGCCGCGCTGTCCGCGCCCTGTCCGCTGCTCAAGCCGCCACCGCCGCCCTATGCGCCACTGCCTCCCGACGACGACGGCGTCGTCGACGACCCCAAGGTCACCCTCGAGGGCAAGGACCTATGGGAGAAGTTCCACAAGCTCGGCACCGAGATGGTGATCACCAAGAGTGGCAGGTCAGTACGGCCCCCGTTGCTCGTTGCCCGCGCTGTGCGATACCCACGTGATACAAGTGCTGTGTGTGACTTCTCTCGTATAAGCCCATTGTAAGTTGCGTTAGTTAGAGACACGTATCGGTAAGTAAAGTTAGAAATATGTTTATCGAATCGAACTAAGTAATTTTTGTTTTAAATGTACACTATTTATATTAGGTAAGTAGTGCTACACGTTAACTCTACATGAGCTCTACATTGGGGTATATTAATGTATGTTATACTTAGTGATGAATCTGATAACGATAATCTACAGAGATAATACGTATTATTTAAGTCATATTTGTTACAAAATAGACCGGTTAAACCGGTCCACATTACGTGGTCTGGAAACGGTAACACGTAATAGAGTCTAAACGGTTATAAATCTAGTTTCCACAATGCTTCTCCATTAATAACGAGAATACACGTTGATAAAATATTATTTCAAGTTATTTTATGTTTTTAGATGCATTATTTTTTATATATATTTTTTACAATTATTTTAATGTCATCTTAAAGTTTAGTAGAGCTTTTTCAGAATTTCTTGAATTTATTTTCTAAAATAAAATATAGTTATGTTTAAAATTAAGCCTTTTCTACCAAATAACATTAAAATTCATGCCTATTACAAGATAAAGATAATTGCATTTTCTTTTTTATTTGTTTAATGGGGATTTTTAAACGACGCTAGAAGGGGTTGCGCGAGACATAGGCACATTTTTTCATCATAACCACGCACCCGACGGCAAATGACGTGCAATTAATTGCGCTGCAGATGATTTTACCTTAATTAACGTTGTAAAAGAAGACGTTATGTGTTAACAAATATTTAAAACGAATAAAGATAATTAAAACTGTGCGAGATTTTTACAATAACCACAAATTCAAGTATAAAGACAACTACTTTGCGTTCCAAAATGAACAGTTTTTGAAACTACAAAGTAGTTTAGTGTGAAATTAAGTTTATATCCATTTTTTATAATAAATTTAAAAAAAATATTGATTATTTATTTTTAAATACTTATTTTTATTTAATTATTAACCCCCACTATATATAGTGACGACCTGGTAAGGCATGCAGGAAGTTGATTGATTTAGGTGGCTCAGGACCGTGCTTTGTAAGTTCAACAGCGGACTTGTGAAGGGCTGTAATGATGATGATGATGATGATGATTTACTTATTTTAACTCAATTGATATACTTTAAAAAAATTTAAAAACTAGCTATGTAGTATTTAAAAACTTTTTAAGTTAAGGGATTTAATCTTTTCAATCAAAATCACGTATTTTTATTTCGAAAAATGTAATAAGTTTCCTTTAACTGAAAGTAGATATATAAATAGAAATGGGATATCACATTATTTAACCATATATTTTTGTTTACAACAACTATTTTCAAAGCTGCGATGGTACATCAAAGTTTTACGAGCAGATAGTAGGTACCACTCCATTTGTATCTCACATGTAATAAACACTGGTATCACCACGCACGTACACAATAACAAATATCTATAGATACCTAATAGACAGCTCAATATGAAATAAAGCTGTCACCAGCTCACATTGATGGGTACAAATAAAAAATATTAATTTATAACTTATAGAATTGTTAGCAATCGGTAATTCTTTTATAAAAATTAAAGAACGGTTATAACGATTAACGAGGTAAATAATAAATTATATAGATGATATTATGTTTTACAAAATAAGGAAATTACAGTTGCAACCACTAGCTTTATTATTATAAAAACGCATTTTTTTTTAAATAGAATAAGGGTAACAACCGAGCACACAGTCCACCTGATGATAAGTGGATGCTGTGGCCCATAGAAATCGTTATTTTATTATCAATTAAGAATCAAATGCTGATGCGTTGTCACAGCTGAGAACTGAGATGGAATGCCGCGTTTCTAGAACAAAGGGTCTCCCTGCTATTTTACGCTGGTATTCTGTAAGAGCGTGGTCCTTACCGGAGTCGACCCATTCGCGCTACAACCATAATATAGCTGACGTGTAGCTCTACCACGTATATAAACATGTGACATATTATAGTATATTTTTTAAAGTTATTATAGTAACAAGAATAACAAGGCAGTAACACGGTGGACTAAAAACCATCTTTGAAATGTAATGAATCCTGTGCCAGCAGTGCTCTACACATACACTTACTTTTAACCAGTACATAGTACGTAGTATTTTTAATAGTACCTACTCCATATTGGAGTGGCCACCTTTTTTTTTTGAACAAATATAGTATTTTTTCCCAAAACGGATGCAAAAATATAGTCCTTTTGAGAAATTCCGGAGTAAAAATAGTTCACATTTATTTTCAATCTTTATGTCTATATGTATTCAATCAAATATTAATGTATTTTCAACATAGGTACAATTTTTATTGCTCTTTTCTTTGGTCTTCAATGATCTAACCACCTTACCTTACCTTCAAAATAATATAAATAAATAATATAATAAATAGGAGTATGAGCAATTTGGATTGATTTTAAAATAAATTAACAATTAATTTTTAATTAAATTGCTACATGCTCTTTTTCTTCTTCTTTCTATTTTACATTCATGATGAAAAATATTATGTCTGTAAAATACACTTGTTTCAGGCTTCCAATCATAGTTAATATAACAAAGAGACAGTTGAATTAGCGATATAAATATAGTATTTTTCGTACTATATCATTTTTCTATAATATGTAGTACAATTGAGTGAAATGTAGCACGATACTATATATCATAGTACGGATGGCAACCCTACTCCATATTGTCCCGCGGGTTTCGTAAGAAGTGACGGACAGAAACAAACCTGGACACCTGGAAGAAACAAACATTTTCAGCAGCGTCTACCCAATAACATCTAGAAAATAAAGAACTGCTGTTGGCCACCCGCCTGCCAGGCGCAGTAGCCATGGCAAATATCTCCCCTATGTGGCAATATATGGGGGAGGCCTAGGTACAGCTGCGGCCATTTGATAGACTGCAATGATTATAAAGGCTGCTTTACTTTATACCAGTAGTTTGAAGATTCGTTTATTTTAATTTATTTTAATACAGATAGCAACAGCCTTCATCCTGTAATTCATTATTTTCTCATAATACTTAGTTATATTAGATGATACAATAATTTATGCACAAACAACCAGTTTAAAAGTAATCACTTGTGAAAACATATCTACTCGTATTATAGTGCCACGCGTCTGTTTGTTTACATTCGGAAACTTTATGTAAGTATGAAATAAGCCAGAAAAATAAAAATTATTCCATAAGTCGTGGCCGAACTATCCATTCACGCGGCGAACACTAAACAATGTTTATTCTGATAAATATAATAGAGTCAAACATGTCTACGATGTTTGTCCAATATACAAAATTAACTTGAATATGTATTCGGCGATATAAACATTTAAGGGGTAACAAGGGCAAATTTTCGAGCGTAACACTCAAACATCAAAGCGAGAGAACTTTTTTAAAAGCAAGAAAACTGTGAAGAGCTGAAGGAAATCTGCTAGAAGGGTTTTTGCGAGGCGCCAGGTGACTACCCTGAAAAAACCTTTGTAAACGTTTTTGTTTTTTGTTTCAAAACTTTTGTCCTCAAACGTTCACTTGTTTTGTTCATTTGCAGATGGGGAAATTGTGTGTTTTACTTTAATTTACGCTTAAATTGCGTGATGAAATTCTTATAAAAGTTGTGTAATTTAGTAACTTACTACTAACAAGAATATAAGATTGTGTAGAATATTGTTTGCTTTACTAATGTATTTTTGCAATACAGTGTTACTATACAATTTTAATAGATGAATGGAAACGAACACAATTATATAATTTTGATGAGTTTTTAGGCATATCTTATAGTATTTTTAACACGGTGAAATGGAATGAAATGAAATTAATGATTTTTATTGAATATAGATTAATGTATAATACTTATTGAAAGTCATTTTTTATTTACAACTGGTTCGCAAAAAAACCTCTGTCCTGTGAAGAACCAGGGATCACTTTCTTGCTCTATTGCCTCATTGCATCCGATATTGATTTTATATCGTAATATCTCTATTACGATATAAAATAAATAACGTCCGAACGCAGTATACGTGACACATTGACAATTACAATACGTATATTCATATGAAAGCACTAAAAAAGTTGAAAGAAGTATTTATAATAAAGACAGAATTCGAACTGACTACTCCGCACAATGTTATACCACCGTTGAATCACGTGGTTAAACTATCGTGAAGCCTTATACGCCAAATTTTAGCAAAGCTATTTAGTTCATATGAGGTAGAGACACGCTGCAGTTATATTATGCTTGTAGCACGAATGGGTCGGCTCGACCGGGGAAGGACCACGCTCTCACAGAATACCGGCGTAAAATAGCAGCCTAATACTGCTGTGTTTCGTATGGTGAGTGTAGAGATCCGGAGACCCTTTTTTACTGGAAACGAGATATTCCATCTAAGTTCTCAGGAGTGAATAAATGTAGCTGTCTATGGGCCACAGCGTTTACTTACCATCAGGTAGACTGTGCGGCCGTTTGTCATCCTTATTTCATAAACAAAACTGTTACTCTTCAAAATAATTTTACTATCTCCTAGAAGTTATTCCTTTACCGCTTAACACGTTGTAAATCGGCACTTAAAACTGCAATTATCAATTTTTTGGTGCCGGCGGTGATTGAATTCATTTCGCTCGCGCTTGGATTCATTAACATTTGCACAATAGAGCCTTTCACAATATGTTCGCACGTGATGTCGAATGTAATTTGACATTTATCATAGCCGCTTTACTAATAAATAATTACTATGATTACTATACTTTTCAAAGCGTGGTTGTCACATAAACATCCGTTACCTATATTCAAGAAACGGTTTGTTCTTCGTTACGTTTCGTTCTATTAAAAATGAAACATGTGTTAAAACCGCTTTTATTACATATTATTCGTCTGACAATTTAGGATGACTTAATATAAAAAAA